AAAGGCGCCAAGAGCCCAAAGGGGAGGGGGGGATTTTCTTGGGGGGTCCTGAGTCTATGGGTCAGGTGACCCAGGCCAATGCTTCACCCACCTGTCACCCACCCGACGGGTGACCCAGAGCAGATATTCACCTGCCCATGACCCAGAAATGCCCAGTAGCTGCACACGCCCGTCACCCACCCAAGGAGGCATAGGTAGAACCAAGCCCAACCCAATCACCTTGTGGGTCGGGTGCGGCAGGTGGGTGCGGCTGTGGGCACCCGTGCCCACCTCTGACTTCTAGTCCGTTTTGGGCCGCAGACCTGGTCCGCTTTTGGTCCCTTCATCTGGTCCCTACTGCTGCCTTTCTGGTCCTCTTTCAGCCGTCTTCTAGGCCAGTTCTGGTCTTCCGCAAACTAAATCTAAGGTCCACATCCTTGTCCACATCTGTCGCACTCTAAGGTCCATTTCTGGTCTGACCTAGCCGGGCTGCTCGGGCAGCCCATGGTGGCCCAGACAGCCCGGATGGTAGCCTAATCTTTTTCACACTTTTTCACCCCTTTTTTGCATTTCTTTTCTTTCGATATGGTTCGAAGTTACCTTTAGCAATTTGATCAATAATAAATGCAGCAAAATAATGCAAAAATACACTATTTCACACTTTTTCACACTTTTTCACCGCTTTTTCAGCACTTTTTCACACTTTTTCACACTTTTTCACACTTTTTCACACTTTTTCACCGCTCCCCCCCCCCCGGCCCTTTTTTCTGTGACGGTTTGAACTTACCTTGGCAATTTGATCAATTAATGCAGCAAAAAAATGCAAAATTACACTATTTCACACTTTTTTCACACTTTTTCACACTTTTTTCACACTTTCTCACTTTTTTCACCCTTTTTCACCGCTCCCCCCCCCCTCTTTTTGTGACGGTTCGAACTTACCTTGGCAATTTGATCAATAAATGCAGCAATCACAACCCTGTTATCTGTGCCTCCCACATCGACTACACCTGCATCATTAAAGACACCGAGAATCCTGCAAACAAAAAAAACATTTACAATTTTACAGATCACAAAAGAAACAAGACATTACTCCTCAAAATATTTGCTTATTTTTATTTCATGAAGTACAGATGCAAGGAAAATGAGCGAGAGCGTGTATCGATTTAGACAGAAGACCAAATTGCAATACCACGCTGAAGACCAGATAGTCGTGTACCAAGCAGAAAGCACAATGCAACGTGACACAAGCCACATAAGAGCAATACGATGAACTCAAATGTCAATGTCGGCACTCTCTCGCCACACCAACAAAGTATCCAGTGCCGCCCTTCTTGATTGGCGCTCAGCGCCCAGCCTATCTTACTCAGCACCTAAACTAGCCTACAGCTACGACATGCAACAGGATCACTTCATGCTGAAGACCAATGCAGACTGCCAGCATACACCAGAAACACGTCTCTTCTCCCCTCGACCTCACCCCCTTCTCACCCACTATGTGTGACCTCTTTCCCAAAGACCACCATCGCCCACCAGCATCATTACAAGCCGGCTCGGATGGTCATTTGCGCCCACAGCCCAGCTGTGCCCTCACTCCTCTGTGCGCCCGCGTGCGCCTCTGGCTCGCCGGTGCCCAGGCAGCCTGCCTGCGTCCAACACAGCAGCGTGGCCGCCCAGAAGTGTGAAGCCAGAATGTGTTCTGGTTGGGCGAGGCGCTTTCCTAAATGGAAAGTGCAGCCCTGCTCTGGTCTGCCTGGGCCTGGCTTGTGTGTGCCCAGCAGCTTCATGTTGGACCAAAGTGTATGCGCCCAGGCCCATTCAGACAGTTGGCTGGGCCCGCAGCAATTAAGATGGCTGCCCAACTCCGCGACCTGGCTGCTGTAAGTTGCTGTATTCCCATTGGACTACCATATCGGTGACCTACTGGATTCTATCTCGGTGGCATCTGGCGCTGCCTACACCTCCCACCTCCATCGTCTCTCCTCCCACCTTTCGTCTGTGTATGGTTGTACGGGGCCTGAGCATCGTCTATGACTGGCTCAGACCCCACCATCTCACGATTGTTTGTGTGTTGAGTGCTATCTGTATGAGTTCAGTCTATGTGAGTCAGTCCATTTCTCAGACTTCCGCTGCATACATGCTCATCCCATATTGGTTGATCTTTGGTTCTGCCCATACTTGTTGAAGTACTCACGAGTATGCAACATTACTCGGGTCCTCGGCGGCCCCGGAAAAATACTGGGCCGATTTTTGTGTGTCTTTTCGCCCTACCGGACATTGGTCGAGGGCCGGACCCACCACAGTCTGTGCAGACTCAGGTGGGGTGGCCGGAGGCAGGGCCAGCGCTTTCAAACTGGCCGTTTTTGAATCTCGGGGGCGCACTGTCTGCTGCCCGTCACGTCCCCCCTGCAGCCCCGCAACCATCCACGAGGAAGCCGCCATCCACGTCCCCCCTGCAGCCCCGCAGCCATCCACGAAGAAGCTGCCATCCACATCCCCCCTGCAGCCCTGCAGCCCCGCAGCCATCCACGAGGAAGCCGCCATCCACGTCCCCGCTGCAGCCCTGCAGCCATCCACGTCCAGCCCTCGCCGATGAACCAGCCACCCAATGTCCAAGAAGCAGGTCAGTCTCTCTCTCTCTCTCTCTCTCTCTCTCTCTCTCTCTCTCTCTCTCTCTCTCTCTCTCTCTCTCTCTTCCGGGTTTGTCCTTTCTTCCGGCTT